TCTGTTCGCTGTACATAATAACAACCTTACCGATATGTTTCACGGTTCAATTCCTCCTTCATGGAGTATTGTCATGTAAAGGCTGCTGACATTCGTGGTGACAAATAGAGCTCCTGAAGGTTTAATCCGCACTCACTCTCTTGTCCAGGTCTGTAAAGTGGTATAAATGTTCTTTTGGGACTGCGCACAAGGGTTACAGTCAGTTTTCTCATAGGTGCCCACATCTAGCAATTGTCTAGTATTTCTATATGGTGGTCAGAATAATTAGTGATAAATCTACTGCCCTCTTTGTCCGCTGAGCAAATAGTAATAGTTGGGTCCTTAGACGTCCTCTCTGGAGGGCTAATCTTTCTTTCTTGGAGATATTTGAATGTTGGACACACTTTATATTCAGAATTTCGTTAAATTCAGAATGTAGGTTTTGGACAAAGGTTTAAATAGTTGCAGAATAATTAGTGATAAATCTACTGCCCTCTTTGTCCGCTGAGCAAATAGTAATAGTTGGGTCCTTAGACTTCCTCTCTGGAGAGCTAATCTTTCTTTCTTGGAGATATTTGAATGTTGGACACACTTTATATTCAGAATTATGTCAAATTCAGAATCTAGGTTTTGGACAAAGGTTTAAATAGTTGCATTTGTAGCTGGAGGTTGAATCTGGTTGCAAAGTTGTAGTACGGGACTATCTCCATTCTGTAACGTTTATACTCAACACACGGAATGAAATCCACCAGAAGAATAGAGACAGATAAAAAGGTCTCTAAACCGGTCCTTAGAATGTCCGGATAGATAAAAATAAAACAAGGAAACGTCAGAACAAAACAGAGTAGTCAAGAGAAAGCCTGGTCAATACCAAAATACACTAAACACACAAAAGAACGTATTATTGGGACACTAGAAACAAGGATTTCCCAATAAATTCTTAAGAAATCAGGAAGAAATGGAGGTTTGGGATTTCCAGATGTACATGTGTTACATGATGTTATCCCATTAGCTAATACGAGTTTAGAGCCGACTTTCTTTACAATTGTTTCTGGATAGATAAAAGATGCCCATTAGATAAAATTACAAAAAATCCTATTATAAAGGCGACTGAGTACAGTTAAAAACATAAGGAAAAAATTTAATTGTCCTTTCTTCTCCATTAGAACTACTGGAAATTAATATAAGAGATCTCGATTTGAGTAGCTGGAGAAGATGCGGTATCAGCCATCTTTTGAATATCTTCTCTAAGAGCAGCATAATTCCTTTCCACCTGTTACAGTCTATATATCCTCTCACTCCAGGTGAAGTGTTTACATACCTGAGAGTAAAAAAATACTTATCTACTAAACAAACTTTAAATCATAATGATATTACTGACTTCTTAGAGAATAACAACCCCCCAAAAGAGAATATCCCATTCACTTAAATGTCTCAGTATTAACGATACTTTTGTTAAAGAGTTTCCAATATTGAAATGGGAACTAGATTTAAAAATTTTTTTGGAGGTACAGACTTGGAAACAAAGTATCAAACAGGTCAAACAGGGTATAGATTGCGTAAATTTGATTGAGTTGTACTTTAAAGTTTTATACAGGTGGTACATGGTTCCAACAAAATAAAATAAAATATACAATGACTATTCTGACCAATGTTGGAGATGTAGTAATGCTAAGGGATCCCATCTTCATATTTGGTGGGAGTGTTCTGGGCTAGATACTTTGAAAAATAATCGGAAAAGACTCTTCTTTGACATTTTGGGGAAAGAGATACTATTGACTCTGCAGCTTTGTCTTCTCCATTTAGACTTTCCCCAAATGGAAAGTCATGGTACCAAAACTGGCAAGAAATCACAACCCAAATAAATTACCAGTGTTCCATGGAGAAAGGTTACTAGTCGATGAATAACCAACTGAATCTATTTAATAAAATATGGGATAATTGGCAAACATTTTACTATTATACGATCTAAAAACTTAAACAAGAACATTAAACTGTGACCAATACGAATAATTGAATCTAAGTGTTAATCCCTGAACCACCATCTTCTTACCCCACACCAGAATGATTGATGAATGGAGCATGAATGAGGACTGGAATGCTTTATAATAAAAATTGAATTTTTTTCTGATATATTGTGACTGTTGTAAAATATTTATTATAATTATGTAATTTTTTTGTATTCTTTATACATTGGACTTCAATAGATAAAAAAAAAAAAAAGAACTTTAAGTTAATCTCCCACCTCCTCAATCACCAGTAACATATACTCCAAGGCACATTTAGTAGAAATAGCTACCCACCTTCTACACATTTCTGGGTTATTCCAGCTAATTTGGGGCATATTCCTGATACAGAAGCCCCATCCTTTAATAATCAGAGAGGTATATTGCATGAAGTTCAAAATCTATTTCAGAATCAATTAAGGCAACAGTATAACTGCTGCTTGTTCGTCCGTAAACTGCAATGTTTTTGCATACACACCTGCTCTCACAAAAAATTCATTCATCATGCTGATTGGACAAAAAACAGAAAAAAAGACCTCTTGCAAGCAGTTGAGTGCAAGACACCAGGGACCTGGCCAAAACTCAACAATAATAATAAATTGCGGTACCCCTTAGGAGTATGTGTGAATGTATATATATATTTATATGTGGTCAGGGACAATAAGCAGAGTTATGTTAGTAGTGCACAAGTCATTCATGTATTTCCTGTAAAAAGAGGGCCCCCAATTTAAATGGCTTGATAAATGGAGTGGTGGATGGGGTGAACCAGACAGTCTCAGCCCAGAGGAAGGGGCGACCTGTGTATTTATAGCAATATCCCCTCCCACAACTACAGGCTCTGCCCACAGGCTCAGCCTTTCTATTTGTGGCCTGGGACAATAAGCCGTGTTATGTTAGTGGTGCACAGGTCGGTTGTGGTGTGCCGAAACCGACATTCATGTAGGCCTGTAAAAAGAGGGCAAAAAATTCATAGTTTAACACTTTAATACGTGTCTACATTACGCAATCAATACATTACATTTTATCAGCATATATAATCTTACCTGAAAGAGATTCGTTAGTGGGAATTACTCTATAACACCAAGATGCTGGCTGACCTATGTTATGCCAAGTGGTGAAACAATACTATTTACATTATTTATAAATGATCTGCCTAATGTTTGCAAATCCTCAAATGAACACATGTACACAGCTTGAGGTATATTTGGGTATGTTGTTAGACCCCAATCTATCTTTTGGCCTCCACATAGCAAAAATTGCATCTAAACTTTATCCAAAACTAGGTGCCCTGTACAGAAACAAATCCTGCCTTAGCTCTACAGTAAAGGAAAAGATTGTAGAGCAAATGCTGATGCCAATCATTGATTATGGGGGTGTAGTATATGCACCACACCGCAATCCCACATGAATAAACTCAATACATTGTATAACTTGTTCTGCTGATTTGTGGTACAATGTAATTACAGGACCCACCATTGTGACATGCTAAAAGAACTAAACTGTCTGTCGCTGGAATCCAGATGCATTCTTCATCTTTCCAGCCTTGTGTTTAAGAGCTTTTCTAGGAAGCTCCCATCCTACCTGAGCCCTACCTGAGCAGAATGCTCTCTTTGGCTGTTCCCACCTCCTATAACCTCAGATCCAGTACCAGCACTTTATTTAGTCTACCTCAATACAAAAAAGAAAGTGGCCCGATCCTCCTTTTCCTACAGAGCACTGCAATTATGGAACATCCTCCCGCACACTTTAAAATCTTCTCCTTTAAGAGATCCCTCTCTACATACCTCAAAACAGAATGCACGTGTTATGGTTGATTATATATTTCCTACCTGTTCTATGTTAAACTTTGTATATATTGTGTATCAATATTGTTTTTGTATTTTATTGTACCCTATTGTATCAATGCAATGTTTTGTGGACCCTAAATTGGTGACTTCGGAACCTAACTAGTTGCCAAGTGGCGATGAGAGACTCTACCTAGGATTTGACCCATTGGGTATGTTTGCCACTAAGCGTTGTAGCAGGGTGTTGACCTCATGGTGAGGATTAAAGAGATTGAAAATAAGTTGGCTGTGACAGGTGAGGCCCTGCTTTTGCCAAGAGGGCAGAGATGCAAGGCAGTAACTATGATTTGGTCTGAGGAACGAATACCTCTGTAGTTGAGGATGGGAGTTGGCCTCGCCAGACATCTATATAATGGCACAAGAAGCCGAAAACTACTTATGGCCACTTAGGGTACCCAAAGAGCCAGACCAAGCTAAAGATAAGTTCTGTAGAGCGAGTGGTTGTTGTAATAAGGGAGCTAGTATCGTTAAGCCAATCACTTACGTGGTGACTTGAAAAACGTAAATGCAAAACAATAAATCTCGCATGATTAGACATACACCTGGCAGATAAATGAAAGCTATGCTAAAAGTTGATGGTAAGAATAGGTGAATAGAAAGTGGAGGGCAAAAGAAAATGTTTACGGAGGTCAAAAACCGAAATCCAATGAGAGAGAGAGACCCAAGAACTTAATATTCATAATTCAGAACTACGACACCAACACTAATGAAAATGTCACAGAGATTGCCAGTAAGGTAGGTAAAGTAAGTGCAATGAGCCCAGGACACAAAATACTCTATTAAAATCTGTTATCAAACTAACCAAAGGAATTTGAACAGTGTAATAAATGACTCAGTTGACCATAACGGCAAAAGTACCCCCAGATATGCAATGGTCAGTATAAAGTATACCTGGTGAGAGTTAGCATAATGATATAGGCCATTAAGGAGGTGATCAGAATAATTGAACAACAAGACCCCTGTGAGGTGTATGTCAAGAGGTGAGGGTACAGTTTACAAATTATCAAGTTGAGGATAGTGACAGAAAGGCATAATATAAAACATAACAGTGCAGACATGTTGAGTAACTGAAAATTAAGGGTTTACATCAAAAGCTGGTACCGGATACCTGATTGTACCAAATCTAGGCATGAGTTCCCACTGCACATCCTTCCACTAGAAGGAGCTAAACTATGTATGAAAAGGAACACCCTGAGAACAGAGGTGTAACTAGAAACTACGTTGTACACCTCTGTTCTCAGGGTGTTCCTTTTCATACATAGTTTAGCTCCTTCTAGTGGAAGGATGTGCAGTGGGAACTCATGCCTAGATTTGGTACAGTGTGAAAATTGCCTGGGCCCCCCATGTACGTCTAGTCCTATGCCACTCTCTCTCCCATACGTCTACCGACGCCCTCCCATATGTTCCCACCTCCCCTCCCCCCACACATGCAAACAGATACACATGCAGACACACACATACAAACACATACAGAAAGACACACATACATGCAAACACACAGACAGACATACAAACTGTGATCCTTGTTTGCAGGTAGCACGGTCCTCTAGGGCAAAAACATGCACAGTCCTTGTAATTGCAAATACTCCAGGCACTTTATTTGTAAGTTCACACAGGATACAGCAGTAAATGAAACAAAAGTAACAAAAAACCCTATAAACAAAAACCTGGCTCGTCTGAGCACTAACTGACATTAGGTCCCCTATCTCTCAGGGTTAAACTAAACAAAACAATAGTGGTTTCACCAACCTAGAGTCTTTGTCCACTCTCAGCACTTCAGTATTTAGCCAGCCTGCTGCTTCCAGCCTTTCAGAGAGAAACAAAACATTCTCCCTTACCTGCCTAGCAGGGAGGGATTTATTCCCACTGCTGCAGCCGATTACCTACAGCTGAGCAGTAGGTTGGAGACAGTCCAAAACCCTGGGCTGGATCTAAGTCTTCCAAGAAAACCGCTAAACTGCGGAGTGGAGCACTGGCCCACCCTGCTCTCCAAATGCTCCACCCCAGGGGCCCATAACTAAATATTCATTCTGGTTACATACACAGAAACATACACTCCCCCTGGGGTTAAAAATCATATGCCTCTCTGAACAATTCTGTCGAGATATAGACTCCCTCACAGACCACCCCATTCACCTTATCACATATCCCCCTCCCCAGCTCAGACCCATCGGGGCGAGCGGCCTGGGACCATAAACAGTGAACTCGGGAGAGGCCATCCGCATTACCTTGGGCAGTTCCGGCCCTGTGAGCAATAGTAAACTGGTAAGGCTGAAGACTTAGGAACCATTTAGTCACCCTGGCATTCTTTTCTTTGTTATGCCTCATCCATGTTAAAGGAGCATGGTCCGTGATCAGTGTAAAACATCTCCCCAGTAAGTAATATCTCAGGGATTCTAAAGCCCATTTTATCGCCAGGCATTCCTTTTCCACTACGGAGTACCTCTGTTCATGGGGATTCATTTTCCGGCTCAGATACATGACAGGATGTTCCTCTCCTTCATGTACCTGGGACAGAACCGCGCCAAGGCCCACATAAGACGCAGCGGTCTGTACCACAAATGGTTTAGTGAAATCCGGAGCCACCAAAACAGGGTCAGCACACAAGGCTCCCTTCAAGACTTGAAAGGCATGCTCCGCTTCCGGGGTCCACTTAACCATAATCGGGCCTTTTGCCTTAGTAAGTTCAGTCAATGGGTTGGCAATGGTAGCGTACCCAGGGATGAACCTACGATAGTAGCCGGTTAAGCCTAAAAAAGCCCTGACTTGCTTTTTAGTTACAGGACGTGGCCAACTGGTGATGGCTGCTACTTTGCTCTCTTGTGGTTTAAGGAGCCCCCGCCCGATAGTGTACCCCAGATATTTTGCTTCTTCTAGCCCTAAAGAACACTTAGCAGGGTTAGCTGTCAAACCGGCAGCCCTTATACTATCCACAACTGCCTGAACCTTCATCAAGTGGGTTTCCCAGTCCGCACTGTGAATCACCACATCATCCAGGTAGGCGGCTGCATACTGTCTGTGGGGGTGAAGTATCTTATCCATCATACGCTGAAACGTTGCTGGGGCACCATGCAACCCAAATGGTAGCACTTTATATTGGAACAACCCATCAGGGGTAGAAAACGCGGTTTTCTCTTTTGCTTTCTCAGTCAGGGGTACCTGCCAGTATCCCTTGGTGAGGTCCAAGGTGCTCAGATATCTGGCCTTACCTAATCGCTCTATTAGCTCATCCACACGAGGCATCGGGTAGGCATCAAACTTAGAGATATCATTTAGCTTACGGAAATCATTACAGAAACGGACTTCCCCATTTGGTTTGGGCACTAACACAATTGGGTTGTTCCACTCACTTTGTGACACTTCAATCACCCCCAACTCAAGCATCTTTTTAACCTCTGCACTAACCGCTTCACGTCTAGCCTCAGGTATCCTGTAGGGCTTCAGATTGATCTTCTTCCCAGGTTCAGTTAGGATATCATGCTTGATTATATGCGTTTTTCCTGGTATTGGGGAAAACACATCCCTATTTTTAGACACAAACTCCCTGACTTCCTGTTTCTGATGGGGGGCAAGAGTATCAGCGACATGCACCTCCGGACCCTGCTCACGAGTGGCTTGAGTAGGTTTATCTCTGGTCACGATGAGAACCTCTCGTTCTACCCATGGCTTCAATAAATTTATATGATATGTCTGTTCTGGCTTCCGTCTGCCTGGCTGTCTTACTTTGTAGTTCACGTCACTGATCCTCTCAGTGATTTCATATGGCCCTTGCCAGCTGCCTAAGAATTTGCTTTCTACCGTGGGAACAAGAACTAGAACCCTATCACCTGGTTTGAAGACACGTAGCCTTGCGTTCCGGTTATAGCTTGCTTGTTGGGCTCTCTGGGCCTTTTCCATGTTTTCCCTAACTATGGGAATTACCGCTTCGATCCGCTCTTGCATTTGCGCTACATGCTCTATAAGACTGTGATGGGGGGTATGCTCTTGTTCCCATGTTTCCTTGGCAACATCCAGTATGCCTCTTGGATGCCTACCATACATTAACTCGAAAGGTGAGAACCCTGTGGAAGCTTGCGGGACTTCTCAAATAGAAAACATCAGGTAGGGTATGAGATAATCCCAATTTTTTCCATCCTTGTCTATCACCTTCCGCAGCATAGCCTTTAGAGTTTTATTAAACCTCTCCACTAATCCATCAGTTTGCGGATGGTATACCGAGGTTTTCAGCTGCTTGATTCTGAGCAATTTGCACAAATCACGCATGATTTTTGACATAAAAGAGATTCCCTGATCTGTGAGAATTTCCTTAGGTATACCCATCCTGCTAAACATCATCAGTAACTCCCTTGCAACATTTTTAGAGGTGGCATTCCGTAGAGGTACTGCCTCTGGATACCGTGTTGCATAATCCACAACAACTAAAATGTACTGATGTCCTCTTGCGGACCTAGGCAACGGCCCTATCAGGTCCATTGCTATTCTTTCAAATGGAACCTCTATGATGGGAAGGGGTACCAATGGACTACGGAAGCCCTTATGCGGAGCTTTCAGTTGGCATTCTGGGCAGGATTTACAAAACCTCTCTATTGCCGAAAATACCCCTGGCCAATAGAATCGGGTCAGAATTCGCTCCCTCGTTTTTTCAAAACCAAGGTGCCCACCTAACACATGGCTATGGGCTAGTTTTAAAACAGTGTTTCGGTGAGATTGGGGAACTAACAACTGTTCTGCCTCCTCTTCCCCCTTTTTCTCTACTCGATACAGCAGATTATTTTTCACCATGAAATAAGAAAAGCTCAAGGGCTTGTCAGGGTCCGCCCTTGTACCCTCCACTATTTGCACATTCTCTCTTGCAGCTGTCAAGGACTTATCTTCCCATTGGGCTGCTCGGAAGTTACCAGGGGGGACTCTGAGATCCTGAAACTCCACTTCTTCTATAGGGTCTTCAGTATGGGGAGGTTCTACCTCATTACCCAGGCACACCAAGGGTGTCTCTTGCTCGTCACATTCTAAATCGGAGAAAGGAAAAATATTTTCTATACACTCTACCCCGGGTAGCTCCTCAGAGCGCATTTTTGGATGAGTAGAGCACTTTTCCCATAGGCGGCAGAAATGGGGAAAGTCCCTCCCTAATACCACATCATACGGTAATAGGGGCACTACCCCTACAGAGCATTTAACCTCCCCTACCTTGGTGCCAAACTCAACCTCTGCCGTGGGGTATGTGTGGGTGTCACCATGTATACACACAATATCAATCACTTGTTTGGTGTCTAATTTCCCTGGCTGGAGCAGAAAACTTTTTATCAAGGTAACCTCACTCCCTGAATCAATTAGAGCTTGTACATTCTTTCCTTCCACCCTCACCATTATTAAATGCATTGCATTAATAGCACTAGTCACCACACACATCTTTGAGCAAGTCAATACAGTCCTATGCAAAGCCCTTGTCCCTACATCACACTGCATGGGCTCTTCATTCTCTGGACAGCTGCGTGCAAAATGTCCAGGCTCATGGCATTTAAAGCACCGGAGTTGTCCCTCAGCGTGGTCTTGTAGCCGTAATGGAGCTGGTGGGGACCTTCTGCCACCCCGGTCATATGGTTCAAGGTTCGGTACAAAGTTTTGTCTTTTGTTTCCCACTTTCCCGCTTATCCGGTTGTTAGCCGGTCGGGACTTCTGATGAGGATCAATACTGTATGGCTCCTTGGCAACCAAATACCTCTCAATCAGGCACATCATTGCTTCTGGATCCTGAGGGTCCCCTTGGCAGACCCATTGTCGCAGTCCTGTTGGCAGGTGTCTGAGAAAACGGTCCATCACAACCATTTCCACTATCTTGGTAGCAGGGTTGCGCTCTGGCTCCAGCCACTTCTGAGCGAGCCTGAGCAATCCATACATCTGGGCTCTGGTAGGTTTACTCACATCGTATGCCCAATTATGAAATCTGTGGGCTCGAATGGCTGGTGTTACGCCAATGCGCTTTAGAATTTCAGCTTTAAGTTGCTTGTAATCCTGGGTCTGGTCAGAAGGTAGGTCTTCATAGGCTTTTTGGCACTCCCCACTCAGGCATGGAGCTAGAAGCCCCGCCCATTGGCCCAGTGGCCATCTTTCCCGGGCAGCAACCCTCTCGAAAGTGGTGAGATAAGCCTCCACATCATCTGTCTCTGTCATCTTATGCAGGAAGTCTGTGGCACGGATACGGGATCCCCTTTCACCAGGGGGGCTCCCTGCAGATGCCAATATCACTCTCTGCAACAC